AAGCCAGTAAAAGCATTCATCAATACTTTTGAATTCATAATCTTTTTCATGCAGTCAATGTATGTTGGTCCACCTTTTATTTGCAGAGCTGCTTGCAGATTAAAATTAGGTGACTATTCTGGAGCAGCTGCAGATTGTAATGAGGTACAATTATAACTGTAACAAAACTGCAGTCATGGCAGCCAAAATAATGTATTCATACTGGAGTTACATATGTACATATCACTGTACATGTATGGTCATTTAGTTCCAACGGCCCATATGTAGGAAAATAATTTATGCTTTGTTTGGTTTGGAACAGTTGAGGCCTGAATCAGATGCCGAGCTTTTCATGAGCTGAACCTAATTCTAATTAAGGCCGGCCCAAATTATTTAGACTGGCTGAATTGATTCAGACACCGATCCTAATTACAGCTGAACTAAGATCAAAAGGCAAAAAATGCTCATTTCGGTCAAACTGCTTACAAAATACATTATAATAATTTATGCATTAGGTTTGGCACATGAAAAGTTCTGCGTCTGAATCGAAGCCATTCCAAAGGCGAAATTCTCAGCTGAGCCATTCCAAATTGAAACAGCATTCCTAATTGATTCAGACACCAAACTTTTCATGTATTTTAATAATTCAATGTATTAGGTTCGGCTGTCTGGAACAGACTGACATGTTTACACAATTTCTTTTGTAAGTGCTTCATGGGCAAAACAATAAAGAAATACATTTTTTTACAAGATGAATGTGGTACTTCCTGAATACAAGCTTCATGGGAGTTGGCAAGTTCATAATCAGAAACTGCTGTTCGGGAACTGAATCTAGAAACTTTGAAAATCTTTTCAATGTCACTTTTATGGAAGGTGGCTTGATTACAAAAAAACAATAATTTTGCAGAAAAAAACTTAAACATACGTAGCTACATGTAAAGAAGGGTGGGTTAGATAATGAATCATAGTTGTTCACGTTATCTCAAACATTCTAAACTTTATATGATGCTGATCTTCTATCAATGGGGACACAACCTAAAAACTCCTGAAAAGTCAAATGCTTAATAAAAGCTGTTAGCTAACACTTTAAGTGAGGTTGATGATGAGTGTTCTTAAATTTGATAACAGGTGTTGGATCTGGATCCAAACAATGTAAAAGCTCTTTACAGAAGAGGACAATCTAACACAAACATGAAAGATTTTGAACAAGCAATGGTATGTAGTCCCGGGGAGGGTACTTTAGGAAGTTTTGGGTGGTGATTTGCCGCTGGGATCCTGGAACCTTTAGCCTATACCAGAGCTCTTTCAAGTGAATTTTGCTACCCTTTACTAGTCTAAACTACCAAAATCCTACCCTGTCCTAGAGTAGCTGTTTTCCAGAAACTACTGTGGTCACAAACACAGTCCAGCCGAAAAAAAAACCGATTTTGATTTTTTCACATTTTTGAGCGGCAATTCCCGGTTTCCCTAGTCTAGACTAAAATCTTCAACCAGCTGATCAGTTTCCTGGAAAATGATACCCTATTCTAGACCTAAACTCTCTGATTTATATACCCTGTCCCAGAGTACACCGCTTGAAAACCATGCCCTTCACAGCGGCACATACCTATGTCACCCATAACGGCAGTACCCCCCCCCCCCCCCCCCCCCCCCCCCTGCGGCCTTTAAAAAACAAACATTATTTTTTTTTGTTTTTTTTTTTTTTTCCAATATCTATTTTTTTTTTATTTTATTCCACGTCACGTGTACAGACACGGTCCACCTCGACGCATAAACATAAACAACCGAGTACCCCCCTTGAAAACCCTTCCCTCCCCAGCGGCACATACCTCTTTCACCCATAACGGCAGTACCCCCCCCCCCCACCCCCCAGGTATGTAGTATCTAATAAACAGTAAATTGTTTTTTGTATGTTTTTAAATTAGTTTACAAATATTTTTTCATTTCAACTCAGGTTGACCTTCAAGTGGCTGAAAAGCTGGCACCGAATGATAAAAGTATCAAAAATGAGGTTGCAAGACTTAAGAAGCTGATGGAGGAGAAACGCCAGAAAGACAAACAGATTTATTCAAAATTGTTTTCATGACAACTTTTCCTTGTTCAGTTTTGGACAAAAAAAATGAAACCCTTAGTGCTATGTTGTAATATGCAAATGAAAGTGAATAACGTCGCGACTTCAACACTTTTTCATTTGTGCACCTCTTTCTTTTGTTAACTGTGACAATCACCAGTGTGTTAAGATAATAATTTCTTTGAATGCAATATTGTTTCAAAAATGTTTAATTTTCCAGGCAGTACACTTCTACATCTAATGCAGGTCATAAGATTCATTATTAAGGCAATAATAATAATTTTTAATAAAAAAAGAAGACATTGTCTTATATGGAGCCCTTGCATTGTTGTCTCTTGCCTTTTCACCTCTCTGTGTCCCCTCTCCGGCAGCCTGAGTACTGTTGGTTGCATCTTGCGGTTTGATCACTCCATGAAAATATGAACGGAAAAATTATTTGTGATGCGTGACACTTGCGATACCTTAAGTTTTAAATTGTTATTGTGGAAACAATATCAAATGTGCCATAAATGGTTTATGGAAGAGAAAGGCCAAAGACAAACAATTTTATTCAAAATTGTTTTCATGACAAAGTGTTACCTGTTGCTTTTTTTTTCTTCAAAAGCCCTACTATAAGTTACAACTTGCATTGAATTACTGGAAAACATGTATTCCAATGAGGAAGGAAAAAAGGAAAAGGAAGGAGGGATGAACTCTATGGTGTTTAACCCAGCTTCACTCCACAATGATTTACAAATGTAGAACAATATTCAATTCCCGCATTTTTTCAAGGTTGTCAAAATTACAATACATGTACATAGAAACCTTGACAAACACAGGAACCAAACTTTTTCCATGAGGCAATGTTAATGTACAGTACCAATGCCAACATAGGAGGGTTCTGAAACTTTACATTCTGTGACTGAATGTTTTGGCTCCAGACAAGATTAAATAAGATTAAATTTGTCAACTGTCAGAAAATTTTGCTCGGCAACTAAGCCATGAAAAGAAGGCTCCAGTTTATTTTCTGGACTTTTCTCAGGTCTGGAAACTGGTTTATAAATTTAAAGACTTTTTCAAAAATAGAAGACACTGTATGTACCCTGGAATTATTCACTGTTGTTTAATTACATAATGTTATTTTCAGTATGCTCACGGGAAAGAAATCATGGGCCTAGTAGTCACTGATAAGTACCAGAATTCCTAGTCACTGTCATATTCAAATTCCTTTTTCAATCCTGCTCTTGTCACACATCTCCACGTATCATCTTTAGCAGGGAAGTGCCAAGAATTACCAGCACGTTGAACCACTGGGTCAAAGTTTTGCTGGAAAAATTTGAGTTTGCCATTGACACTAGTTGAAAAGGACACACAATTCAACCTTGTCCACCTCAAAAATGTCCACCACAAGTTGATTGGTAATAAAAGCCGATGATCCCTGAGTCTGTCATTGGTTACTATTTGAACCTGTTGCATCCCACTGAATGCTGCAGCATACAAAAGATATAAGTCGTCATTGTTAAACTTGTTTGTATACACAGAGCAAATGTTCTCCAGATTATTAATTAAGCTTTGAGCGTGATTCCAAACTAGAGCATTGTGACGAATAATTAGCAGTACTTTCTTCTTCTGACTAGCAAAGTTGCGTGCAGTCTCTTTGATCCTATCTGTTGAGAATACCATATTCTTTCTGTTCGCCATTGATCCGTGAAGTCCAACGTTAAGACCATCAATAATGACATCAAATGGCCCTTGCTGTTTAACAAACTGTTTAAAGTCATCCAGCTCTTGGCACATTCTCTTATCCAGCTTTTTACCATGGAGTATAGTTACATTTTGTTCAAGACAACTTGACAGCTTGATAATTTCACATTCAAGCTGAGAAATCTCACTGGGGGCTATGCCACATGTCAGGTGATTTCCACAGTTTGAACACATTCCTATCTCAGAAACCTTACTGTTCTTCCATGTCCAGGAATAATATGGGTCATGTCTGAACCAGTGACGGATTACCTGGAGTAATTGACCTGGAAGTTTTACTCCTGCATGTTGAAGATAACTAAAAACTTTCAGCGACATTCCCTTATACACCTTGTGTCTTTTGGCAGCTTCTTCATCATCACATTTCCTGTTTGAAACAACACCTTCACCTTCTTTAGGCAAGGGTTCTGGTATGTTCATAGGGTTGAGCAGCGACGCAATCATTTCCTTATCTACCGTTAAACATCTGTCACCTCTGCTAGCACGACAGTGAGCCTGTTGTTGACATTTTTCGTCAAAAAGCTGAAAGGCTTTTTTGGTCAAACCATTATGAGCCAAGGTTTTAATCACATAATCATAGTGACGTGTATGGTGGATCATGTTGTCATTTGTGATTTCATGTAACATTTCAATAGCCTTATCAAACTGATGCCGATTGCAGTAGGACTTGATCACAGTTGTTTTAGCTCCTTCCCCAATGTAACTGACATTCTTCTGCATATCTTTATATAATCGATCGACAGCTTTGTGTTCACCATGTTCAGAAAACATGTGCAACAAAGAACTAGCCCCTTCTACTGACCATGCAAGCTTAACACCAGAGTCTTTTCTGCTCTCTTCGAACAGCTGTAGCGCAGCTTGGATATCACCTTCCTTTATGTATGTTTTCATCTTTGTTTCAAGAAGCGAGCTTTGGTCATTTTCTGCTCTTTCACCGGAAAAACTTGCATTCGAGGAACATACAGAGAACGTTTTGAAAAGAACACACGTGCTTGAATGTGGTTTCAGAATCAAACTAAGTTTCCTCAGTGTCATCATACCTGCTTTACCCAGGTGAAGGATGCAACAATTCTCAACTTTCTCAGCCTTGAAATTACCGAAAGAACTATTTTGTCCTTTGAAGATCGGACTGGACGAAATTTCTTACATCGGTGAAACAGCGAAGAACTGGTCAGCGTCCACTTGACTACACGTGGTAGGTAATTCATGTATGGCGAAATTTTTACCAGGCTTTCCTCGGGCGTCAGGAACGCCTGACCAAAAGGAGACGTTTGAGAGCATGAAGTCTGCGAATGTTCCCCTATCCTCGTGTGAAAAAGAATTTCTCCTTCAAGGAATAAGATCAAGAAAGGTAAGAACAGAGATTATTACCTGACGTGCTTGACTTAATGATGGTTTGGTTGTCTCAAAGTTTCAACGTCATCATTTTGTGCTTTGAATAGCGTTTAGATGGACGAGAAACATACGACTACAGAAAAATCCGAATTTCTTTTGGTGTGGACCGCGGGCACTGTGAGGTGCAACTGGGACGAACAAGGTACAATACAATCAATTAATGTATGTAGTTCACTGAAATTTATAGGGTCTTGTTTTATAATATGAGCTAGGTTTTCCTGCAGTTGGCGCAAAGCACAACGTAATGTTGATCAAATGGCAGGGAGTCCAATTCCAACCAATTGGTCGTCAATTTGAAGTCCCAGTGTGCAAAGAAGTCAGTCTGTTTCTTTAATTAAATATTATTTTGCATTATGTAGAGTCCTAGGACAAGTATCATGCGAGGTTACTCAGCCAAAGCCTAACAGACCCACTGAAGGACAGCTGTTTATTAATTTAGAACTTTCACCCATGGCATCACCAGCATTTGAAGCGGGAAGGTTGGTTCTAATATTACTGTAATTACAATAAGATGCCAATTAGATTACTGAACTCTGATCTGAGACATTACTAGCAATTTGATTTTAACTTTCCCAATCCATTCATCATTAAATAGTTGAACTCCCTTTTGATCTAACTATAAATTGGTAAATTGTGAAATCACTAAAAATTATGACATGTGAACTGCAGAGTTAACTTACCCTTACACCCATAAAAAAGAAATAATTTTATTGCAGAAAGACAGCCACTGCGTAGCCACATAGGTCAACAGCTCCAATAAATTTCAGGCAAGATGACTTGTGGGCAACTTCATTTGACATTAATAAAATTTATTATTAAAATGGCAAATAGCTTAATTAACAAAGAATTATTGTATCAAATGCAGTGGTCCCAAATGTACATTAAAATACGATAATGTTGATATTCCTGTAATTAATTAAGACATGCTGTTGTACATGTAAATAATCCTGTGTTCCTTTTATCTTTCAGAACAACAGAATTTAATGTCGAACTGAACAGATTTATGGAGAGATTTTATGTTGAATCACGAGCTGTAGATGTAGAGTCTTTATGTATTGTTGCTGGTGAAAAGGTTTGTTAAAGACGTCATTTAATATTGTGCTTTTTAACCCTTTATTCAAAAATTTTATCCTTAAAAATATGTTGGTTTTTTTTTGCCTTAGGTCTGGTCAGTAAAGGTTGATTTACATGTATTGGACAATGATGGAAATATCACAGACTGTGCAAGTATTGCTGCAATCACAGCACTGGCTCACTTTAGGTTGGTTAATATTCTTGATGTTTGCATTTGTTTGCATAAGGGGTAAAATCAAGTGTGTACTGTGTTTACTTGAATAAGCAGACTTGCCACAAGTCAACGAGTGCAAGGGGGGTGCTTGCAAAGGAAGCAAAACCGAGCAATGAAGTCATGAGACAAGACTGATGTAAGTTGCAAGTCGACTTGTTCCGTCTGCAGAAGATTAAATTTAAATTGCATAATGTTGGCACAAAAATAATGGTTCAAGAAATAAGCAGTTCTCATATGACTCTGAACTCTGAGATAGATGAGGATGACCTGACCTCTAAGAAAACCTTTTCCCAGGTCAGTCTTTCTTGTGTCATGATTTTTACTTAAAGTTACTGTGGTTTGGTCTTAATTTACAGAAAGAGGAGAAGTTTGGCAGAAAATTTTTTCGAACAAAATTTTTTGTCACCCTTGTCACTCAAGGTTTGCTGTATTCTTTTCTCTGCCATTCTTTTGCATACAACAAATTCACTATCATATTATCATTTGGTAGACATCAATATTATTTTAGTCACTATAATTCAACAGCAAAAATAGAGCAGCTCTTTCTTCTTGGTCAATCAATATAGAGTGTTTGCAACCAACTGTATGCAAACAAACAGCAAGTGATATCAGGTTCCAAATAAATGCCATGTCTGAAATGGAGATTTCTAATTAATGTGATACACCTTGTGAGGGTGCGAAGCATTAATATGCCCCTTAAAAAATTTATTTTAAAAAAAGTGTTGAGAATGATTATGCTCAATGCTCAAGCTTGACTTTGCTTTTTTGAAGGCGACCAGATGTTTCTGTCATTGGTGAAGAAGTGACCATTGTAAGTGTTTATTTAGAGAAAGAAAACTGAGCAATTAAAATAATATTATAAAACTCACATTTAACTACAGTAGTGTAAGAAAGAAACTGATTTTCTGTCCACAAGGTATGAAACTGGGTAAACATATTACGTAGCATGTCCAGCCCTGTGTCTTGATAAGTTGTTTATGTACAAATTAGTACAATAATTCTTCTATCAGTCAGATTTTTTAATCTTGAAAAAACTTAGCCTTCTTTTACAAGTAAGTTTACCCATTGTGGTAATATCTGAGCTTTTTAGAGTCTTCATATCATGGTGTTAACAGTGGTGACCATGTACATGTTGTGGTTTAATTTTATCCTTGGTTTAAATTTTATTTTCTCTTGTTTCAAACCATTATCATTTCATTATCATACATTATCATAGACAAAAACAAAACAAAATACAATTTATTTAACCACAACATATGAAACATCATGGCTTAATTCACCAAATGCAATCAGATCAATATAAACCAGTGTCATCAACTGAGTTTGCCAATGTATTACTCACTTTGACAGTGAACTAAAGATGACTATCGCACAGATTGTCAAAGTAGCTGCAGTCACTTGCAATGACAGTGACCTATTTAGGACTACACTCACTCAGAAGATCATATTCCTGCACCTAAGTCATAACATTGCCTTCTCAGCTGTTCCATAAACCATGTACTATACATCTATTCTTCATGGTAACTGTGGTTGCAAAAAATTAATAATGACAACTCCAATAACTGTTACAGAGCTCCTTTCTCAATTTTTAAATTTTTATGATAATCATGTCTTTTCCTTCATTTTTATTTTGAACAACAACAAGCATTAAATAGTTCTTTATTCTGGTACCACTGCAGCACTCACCAGAAGATCGTGACCCAGTCCCATTGAGTGTTCTTCACATGCCTGTTTGTATATCCTTTGGCTTTTTTGATGAAGGGTGAGGTCAATATTCCTTATTTACTCAGTACTGTTTACATGCACTTCAAATAATAATTTGTTTAAAAAAATGTTTCCAAAGTTAAGTGACCATTTGGTAATTTTGAGAAAATCAGCTTTTTCTTCTTTGGTTCCTTTTATCCTTTGTTTTCACCTGAAAATTCATAAGCTGGCTAAGAACTAAAGTAAAGCCTTCTTGCTTTATAGTTAATAAGAAGGTTTTTCCAGTGAAAAATCAAACACTTTAAGAATATTAAGGAATGACTCACCTTGGGCAAAATGTTGGCTTAGGGGAGGAGTAGGTGGGCAGTTACCCAGAAACATATAAATACATGATCCACTGGTTTAATATGAAACAAAACTACTGGCGTGGGAAGAAAAACAACCGTGCTAACGTGGTGTCACTTTATTGCAAAAACAATGAATAGACTTTTTGAGCTTACCTAATTCAATCATCATTTGGAGGCAGCTTGATTAACGTGCATTGATTCAGGTCATCACACAGCAATAACCAAAAAATAGTTATTGCCAATCTACAATGCCACTCCAATATTAGAAATGAAAGGGCAGGAGAAGTCTTATTTTTCTTCTGATTTGTTTAAAGTCTAATGAAGAAAGGCTAAACAGAACTGGGAGGTGTTTGAGGAAGAAATGAGTGTAAGCATGCTCCACAGTGAGAAATGGCAATCATATCCCACTTGAAAAATAATTAACCAGACAACCAGCAACTCCTTTATTGGTTTAACCTAAAGCATGTCAAGAAGGAGACTACAAGACAGCCCATACTTTTGCTTAAGTTATAACAACACGGTCAAAGGAAAGGTTTCGCGTGATGGTGAAAATCTATGGCTGTGTGAGAATCTACACACTCAGAATCTTTGCCCCTTGCAAAACCGATTTTGAGAAAAAAAAACTGACTGTTTTGCAGTCTAGTCAAGAAGTCGTGACTCACCCACTGTTGGCTTAAATTTATTTTGCTTTTATGAAAGTAAAACTTGCAATTGTGACTGATCTATTTGCAATCCTGCCACAGTCTTAATTCCATTATTGGTCTCAGTAAAAAAAAAAATGTCTAAATCCCAGGAATATTTTCTTTTATTTCCAAAAAATTTAGCCAGCTGTTACTTGTAGATCCAACAGAAAAAGAAGAAGCAGTCATGAATGGAAGGATGATTATGGCAATGAACATCCATCGTGAGATCTGTGGTGCAGTGATGGGTGGTGGAGTATCATTGGAGGCAGATCAGGTACAAATAACAAGTGATTTGATGATAAGGATTAAATAATAATATTTTATATTATTTTTTATTATGTTAATAATAATTAATATTAATTAACTGAAAAATTTATCAAAGACTGAAAAAAATCTGCAAACTGCCAGTGATTGATTTTTTATATGTCAGTAGCACCATGGATGGCAGAGGTCATTTTATCTAAGATTACTTTCATTTAATGATTTGATTTGCCAGCTTTGAAGTTAAATATGCCTTGAAAGGAGTGCTTCTCTTACTTTGCACTCTGCTCTAACATTAATTAAATGTCCCTTGTATTAAGGGGTGCCTGTGGAAAGNTTAGCCAGCTGTTACTTGTAGATCCAACAGAAAAAGAAGAAGCAGTCATGAATGGAAGGATGATTATGGCAATGAACATCCATCGTGAGATCTGTGGTGCAGTGATGGGTGGTGGAGTATCATTGGAGGCAGATCAGGTACAAATAACAAGTGATTTGATGATAAGGATTAAATAATAATATTTTATATTATTTTTTATTATGTTAATAATAATTAATATTAATTAACTGAAAAATTTATCAAAGACTGAAAAAAATCTGCAAACTGCCAGTGATTGATTTTTTATATGTCAGTAGCACCATGGATGGCAGAGGTCATTTTATCTAAGATTACTTTCATTTAATGATTTGATTTGCCAGCTTTGAAGTTAAATATGCCTTGAAAGGAGTGCTTCTCTTACTTTGCACTCTGCTCTAACATTAATTAAATGTCCCTTGTATTAAGGGGTGCCTGTGGAAAGGTAGAGGTGGCTGTGTTTCAGGCCAATAATTAGACTGCTTTTCCATGCAGATCCTCAGATGTTCCAAGATCGCATCTGTCAAGGTTGCTGAAATTGTTGCTCTCATACAAGAAGCATTAGCTGAGGACTCCAGACAAAGGTACAATTTATAATACGTTTTAAAAAGCCTTCTCTCAGGGAAACAGGATTGACGTCACCAATACTGCGGAGCCAGGTCACAAACTTTTACTGGAAAATTCAGTAATCAATGTTAATAAAGTGCTTTGATAAGGAGATCTTGAACTGAACAATGGCTTATTGACATTAACAAAAAGTTTTCTTTTTTGGAAAAAAAGAGCTGCTGGCAAGACAGGACTAGTAGAATCTGATACAAGACCATCAATAATCACTGTCACGTCAGCTGATGAGTCAGATGTCGACATCACAGAGGCAGTAGAAAAAACAGCAGGTACTAATGATAATGCTTAAGAAAATTAATTATTTTTGTATTAGAAATACTGTTTTAAAGGGATTGCTACTATACTGATATGCAAGTGTTTTAGTATCCAAGTCCTCAGCATTAATAGATAGGTCTTTACTAGGTTCACAATGTAAAGAGAAACTTACTGCATGCCTCCATGAATCCCACTGATGAGCAGTGGATCAGGCACCTGTCTCTGAATCCCAGTAGCTGGAGAAGTCACCCTCACTTTGCAACACCACTGCTCATTTCTTCACAAAGTGTCATCTGAGCAATGAGCACAGAAATTTCATACTGATGTCATCATAGCAGCATCTCTGAAGTGGAGGTAACTGCTGGTTTCGGTCTGATATGGGATGCAATCCTTTCTAAATATTATTTTAATCCAGCAGTTACATTCGCATTTTTATTTGACTGATAGAAGAACCTCACTGTGGAGATACACTGTACATGTCTCCTAGCTGTATTAAGTAGCATACCATGGTGAATCTTGGAGAGGACCCCTTAGGAACTGTGACCCCACCCCCAATCTGTTATTTTGAACTGCAATACTTTGTTTCCATCAGAGAAGAGGTCACCCTCTAACCTCTAGGTCTTGATCCACCATTGGCATATTAGCCAGTTCTTTTTTTTAACAAAAGTGCCACTAAGAGATACATTAATTACAGCGGTCACCATCATGAAAGTAACCTCTCCCTTGGAATCATTTTAGACTCGCTCCAACTCTCTGTCAGTTTGTCAATTGATGAATGTCCAAATCCTTCACACTGCAAACTATGCCTGCTTCTTTGTAACATTTATAAAATAAGTTCATTTGCTAAGCCCATGCACAGCCACGGTCTCTTCCCTCAACAAAACTGGGGAGAGATTTTGTTGGTGGGGAGGGGGCACCTGTACACAGGCTAAATTTGCTTTGATATCACACATTTAATACTTAGTGCAAATAATAACTCTTTATTGTAGACTTTCCAAATGACCCATCACCATCTGTGACAGCTGAAGAAATGTATCCTTTGTGTCTTCTTTTAGTTCAATATCATGGTTCAGTTGCGAATTTCCCTTGTAAGTATTCATGTATACTGAAATTAGCCGTTCACATCCTTAACAAAATTCTTCTCTTAGCCCTTGGAATGCAGAGCTTAAGGTACGTGCAGATCATTCGTGGCACTTACGTAAATCACTCCACTGCATGTGTAATTTGGCGGGATGTTGAGGGTGTGTGGAAGGTTCCTACCCACAAAAAAAGTTTTCCACTGTTGACATTATTATGTTGATTGTGCAACAGAAGATAAAGTACATTGTAGAATTGGCCTGTATGGAAGGTGTTTTTAGTGAAAGGTAAAGAGGAAAGTAAGGCACCCTTCACTTACTCATCTGCCTGCATTTCCACTTCTCCTCAGATATGTGCTATTCAGTCTAATTTAGAGTACCAGCCTGTATTAGAACAATAAATCGTATTAAAGTGTATTTCCACTAGCATTTTGATGACAAATGTGCTCATGCACAAACAAATGCTAAATGTTGTATTTACTTAATGGTGGCTGCCAAAAATTAATATCCATTGCCACGCACCAGGGCCCAGTTGTTCGAAGACCGGAGTTTCCTTTTCTTTTGTTCAACAGCATTTTCTCAGATAATTTTCTCTGTTATTTTTAGAGCTTCCAACAGTCAACTTGTAGACAAAAAGAATTAAAACTGAAATGCGTTTTAAGCTTTCAAATCTGAATTCAAATCTCGCACTTACCCTGGGTTATCTTAACCCAGATTTGAACAACTCGGCCCAGAACAAGATATAAAGCCCGTCATCATGAATGACCACTAACTATTGCTGCTTTTTAGGGACCTGGGACAGCACAGATTGGAGAGGGAGGGGATAATTCTTGGATTGTCATCGATGACGATGATGATGATGACAGCATGGAAGAAAACGATGACATTGAAATAACAGAAGTACAGAACAGCAATAATAAGGCTGTTATTGAAAGTTCGAAACAGACAAATGGAAGCAAAGGTAAGCAGATATTCACGGGGAAGTTTATTATTATTATTTTTTTATGTCTTCTTCACGATGGCTTGCTGTTATGAGACTATAGTTGAGATACAACCTAGCTTCGGAAGGCTTAAATCTGGGCGCCGCTAAAAGATGCACCACAGGCGAGATTGGAGTGGACGATTCTTCATATAGCACCCCTAGGGATATCCTCTTTTATTAAAAACTGAATCATTGGAGAATGCAATTTTAGAGCCCTGATTAGCTTAGCCATCATAGTATATGAGCCGTTATTATACCATGTTCTCCAATATAATATGGTAACTCTACGCGTCTGCTCAAACTTAAAAACAAGCTGAAAATCGGTTGTTTTTACAAATAAAGTTGGGACGAATTCCCGATATTTTGTGGACATTTTTAATGAAATAATTATTCCACTCGTGCTTGTTGGATATGAGATGATTATAGCCAACTCGACGCTACGCGCGTCGTTGCCTATCCTACCATCTCATATCCAACGTGCACTCGTGGAATAATTGTTAAATATATAGAGAATACTTCATGGAAAGTGCTGGCGTACGGTATTTACGCACGAGTTGTTGACGTATCAGAAATTGAACGAGTGAGCGCAGCGAACGAGTAAGATTTCTGATACAAAAATAACGAGTGCGTAAATACCGTACAAAGCACTTTCCATGTGGTATTGTGTTTATTATATACATACTGAGACATCATCATTTTGGCGGCTTTTTTATTTTAAATCTTTCAAAAATGCTAAAATTTGCCGCTACACACTTACCGCAAAATGACAACGAAAACGAAGTATCAGCTTTTTAGTAAAAACGTTCGTTAAAAACATAAATGACGGTGAGGATATGAGGTAATCCAAGAACCATAAGTAATCTCAACTGTTTGTTCTCAATGCACAATTGAAAATGAGTGAATTTAAGTAAAATGGCCAGTTTCAATATAAACTTAAGCTTAAATGAAAGGCAAAGTAGCTCCGACAAAAAGCACAACAAAAGCTTACGTCTCGTTCTGTTTATCCCTTTCCGCTGTTGTTTCACGAGCTCTCTACCGTTTTCTTTATCGACAGTGAAACAAACGAAACTATTCCCACTCCATTTCCGAAATGTTTATCACTTTTTTAGCGAGAAAAACTCTTTGAGTAAAACTTTTCTCGTTGAATGTGTGCGAAGCGGCGCTGCAAGCTGCAATAAAAGGCGGCAATTTTGGCGCGAAACCCACACACCTCTGTGCCTTCTNTAACTCTACGCGTCTGCTCAAACTTAAAAACAAGCTGAAAATCGGTTGTTTTTACAAATAAAGTTGGGACGAATTCCCGATATTTTGTGGACATTTTTAATGAAATAATTATTCCACTCGTGCTTGTTGGATATGAGATGATTATAGCCAACTCGACGCTACGCGCGTCGTTGCCTATCCTACCATCTCATATCCAACGTGCACTCGTGGAATAATTGTTAAATATATAGAGAATATCAGACACGTGGATCTGTTCTGTTACAAAGAGCTGTTGAACGGAAGGTCTGGATCGATGGTGAATACGGATTCTGAGTGAGACCGGGGGGAGTGAATCTCAAGCCGGCGCTTTGCGCCCAGGCTTGGCGCCAGCGAAATAAGGTTCCCACCGTGTCTCGAGGCACAAGTGGGGAGAATCGCGGGCGGATCGAGACACCCACTCTCCTTTCGCGCCTGGAAAAACCGATTTTGATTTGAAAAAACCGCACTGACAACTTTTTCTTTGTATACGACCTCTCCATTTTTTAATGGATTGTTTCTTTGTTTTTAGTGGTGCAGTGCACTGTGGAAAGTGACAGTAGCGAAGAAGACGAAGTAGTGATTTTAACAGCTGAAAAAAGCAGCGCCGGATTTCAAACTAGGTAAGAAAGCTGTTGGCCGGAGTATTTTACGACCAACAACCGTTCAGTGTTTTTAAGGATGGACTCGAGTTCGCTCGAGTGAGTAAATGAGCCACTCTATCCGAACTTCACCTTTGAAACTGGTTGTAACTAGAATGGATTCTCCTAAATTGGGTTGTCCCTATCCCTAAGAAAGTAAGAAAATTAAATAAAAGGGAGAAGCGAATAGTGGATATATTTTGTAGGTAAAATCCTTCTTCTATTGAAACCAGTATTGAACCAAGTTTGATTCAGAATTTAAGGAGACAAAGAAAATTCTGGTTTAACCGGAGAACGGATTATACCAGCAGCATATACGCCTTGAAAACGCATTCGCCTTAAAATGTACATGCTTTTCTCCTTCATCGTTATTCTGGAGCTAACTACCCAAACCAGTTATTTCAAACCCAGCGTTGCTCATTGCATCATTTGACTGCGTAACAGTTTTTAAAACAGCGCTTATCCCCAGTCCCTGTTCAACTCTGTTCTGGCACAACTGGCGCTCTCAGTGTTCTCCGTAAATTAGCACCCGATTACAGTCAAACCCCGTGAATACAGGCATGGAGGGGGCCATGGAAAGTGTCCGTATTAAACGGGTTGAATTTAGAGAAAATGTAAGAGCTTTCTTTCCCCAGGGACAAGTAGAATTGTCCGTAATAACGAGGTGTCCATATTAACCGGGTGTCCCCAAGGCGGGGTATCTCTGTGTGTGTTTTAAACCCCAAAGGGGTTTGCAAGCCATCAAAAAGTTAACATTCAACAATAGTACATGATGGATTGATTCTGATTCACTTAATTATCACAACTCCCATGTAGAATTTTTAATTGAGTGATTGATAAACTGATTGATTCACTGATTGTTTGATTGATTGATCGATCGATCGATTGATTGATTGATTGATTGATTCATTGATTGACTGACTGATGTGACTACTCTTTTAAGCTCTAAGCTTACAGATTCCCAAGGCGCCATGGATCTCAGCGTTGCACTCAAGACCGGCAAAGAGTATCAAGAAAGCAGTAACAAGAACGTTGACGGCAAAAAGAAGAACAGAAGAAAAAACAAGCCTAAAAAGAGAACTTCTTCGCACACTTCGTAGAATTTAAATATTTTGTAAATAAATTTACCGTGACAAAATTCTTAGACTTGTAATTACACCAGTCTTTTAATAAAGAAAATTCCCTTGATTTTTTGAAAAGTGTTTCTTTTTACTGACGGCGACATTCGCGGACAATAGTGCTGGTACTTTTTTTACTCTTTACCCTGACTCTCACTGCAATTCATAGATAAGTGAAAGTTGTGGAAGAGTCTTTAAATGGGGGTTAATTGCAACTGAATAAATATATCTTCCCTTAACTGCAAGATTATTTTTCACATCAAGGAAAAATCTTCTGGCGCAACATTTTGACGAAAAAAATTCATGCCACTCGAAATCCCCCATAACTATTATAACTATTATAATGGTCCTCCATGGTTCCTTGAAACATTAAGATGACAGGATATTTAAAAAAACGGTGAGATCGACCCTCTATTTACCGTTTTATGACATCATTCATTGGTTTTAACTATTGTATGATCGTGTGGAGCGCGCAAAAAAGTTTTTTTGCTCTTACATAATTTCAGCGCTTTTGCACTGTACGACTCTCTCTAGCATCAGAGTATTCTCGACCCTTGAGTAGGTTAAAGTCAGAGAAAAATTGAGCGGAGCTACTCTAAGCAGATCTAGTCAATTTACATGACTGATTATATGACGCTGCGATGGGAAAGGTGTATTGTCTGGATTTATCGACTGAGAGTTAACCTATTTAAATCATGACATTCCTGCGATATGGAGCGAGGACGGCGCTCACTGCTGCCCAGAGTGAAACGTCTGACACACGTATGTTTGAAATGCGACTTTACACAACTGGAAGAAAACTTGAAATATCAACCAGCCCGTAAAGGGGAAAAAAGCGATTATGTAGCTGACTCTGCTGGACAGGAGAAACGTCCTCAAAATTCAATCAGTAATTTTTAAATCGTTATACTTGCTTGCAGAGGCAAGCAATTTTTCAATTTTACCATTGTATACGTAATCATGGATTTTATATCCATGGTACGCATCTCCTAGTGCGCATACAATTGCGACTTCAAAGGTGGCGGTGATTTTCACCAATCGCCTAAAAAGAGGTATTTATGGCTCCTTTTGTAGTCCTTATGCTTTTAATAGCGATTTTGATAATTCTACCCGGCCAAAAGGGTGTTTGTCTTGAAACTCGCTCCAGTTCCCTCATGCAAAATGATCATTTGAAGCCGAAATTGCCCCTTTGTCGTTTTGCGATGAAACGAGAGCGGAGCGGTGACCCCCTATTTTAATTTGTGCTTTTTACTCTTTATAGCTGCACAAAATATATATATTTTTTCGATATGAATGAGTTGAATTTCCGCATTTAGAGCCACAGAGAGAGTAAGAGATATTGTGAAAACTGTCCATTTCTCTACTTTTTTACAACGTCAGAATTGAAGTTATTTAATTTAAAATATATAGCCCAGAAAAACAAACATACTTAAGGTTTTAGTGAGATTCGTAGTTTTTGCCTTAAAAGAAGAATTTTTGACGGTTGTTTGAGTTTCGAACATTTCGCGCTCCACCAGGAAAAAACACTCGGAATTACAAGCACACGCCCAGCCGGGGCGAACATGCACGGTGACCCCATCTTTTTATTGCAGTTTTTGAATGTGCTATATATGGCTGGCATTTGTGTCAAGTTTGAAAAAAATCTGGATAGTACATCATTTTCAAGTGACTTATATACCTTAAGAGTTTTACGACTAGATTCTCAAAAGTCTATTCACAATTTGGATCCGAAAAAAAATTGTTAACTCAGCCGAACATTGAAAAATATTACAGCTTTCAGGACACAAAAATTATTAGGACTTTTTTGAAAAAAACAAAAACGAGCGAGCTCGGAACACACTATGTAACATGTCGCGGCGATAGATCACTCCTTGTGTGTACAAGAGAATTTTGGTTAAAATCTTTGTCGCCGAGACAGAATTTTGTCGCTGGAAGAAGTCGTGAACATAATCAAATCAAACTGAGTTTATGCGACCTGTTGGGGCGACAAAATTCTGTTGAAGCGACAAAGATTTTACAAAAATTCCCCACATGAGCACACACGGAANAAAATATAGGACAAAACCCACCAAAACTGCAAAAATATAGGACTAATCTGACAGTCACTTTTAGGCCCAACGTAAGGTTCTTTAGTTTTAAGACAATTTAATATCATTATTTATATGTTGCCAATTGAAAGTCAATAAAAGAAAGACACTTTTTCGGTTTCAAAAATCTCTTTATTTTTTTTTTTTCTGGAATCATTACCTCATCTTACTAACAATACGTTCTTCGGCTTGTGAGATCAATAAGAAGGGCAATCTGACATCCCTTTCAGTTCAACAATATAAACAATATAAACTGGTTCGAGTTCAAAACTCAGTACTGACACTTTTGTGAATGCAAGTAACAAGCAAGGAAATTTATATGCTACAAGGCCAAATAACTCAACACAAGTCACAGTTCTGGATGAACTTTCAGATAAGCTGAAGCATTCGGAAATTCTTCTATAAACAAGGCCTTCACCACTGCTTTTAGGTCGCTGTGGTTGTCTTAACATTGGATTTCTTTTTTCTCTTCTTCTTTGATGCTTGCTTTGGTACCGAGGCACACACCCTGGCCTTCTTCATAGGAACTTCTCCTAAGCTTTTTTCAATAAGCTTCCGCTTTTGACACTCGACATTTCTCTGCTTCTCTCTTATCTCAGATATCTCTGCATTAAGCTTCTGTGCTAACCCTGAAGCAGTTTCTATCATGACTTCCGCTGCATTTATGCCAGCTCTATCACTGCTTTTGACTGAACTCTTCAGCTTGCTGTTTCCGTCGATAAGGAGTTGGCCAACTCCTTCCAGCTTTTCTCTTAGCTCCTTCTCTCTTTCGTTAAGGGCTGTTTCCTTTTCAAGGAGTGATGCATTCTTGGCCTTCAAAGCATCCATTTCTTTCTGTCGCCTAGCAATTTCTGCCTCTTCTTTCTCTTTTTCCTTCCTTCTCCTTTCATTCTCTTCTTTCTCTTTTTCACATTTCTGTCTGTAGGCCGCATGTGCAGATCTAACAGAGCTCAACAACTTCTTAGTAACAGGGACTCTTTCTGGCCTGTGCGATTGTGGGTCAGAGAACTTGACCATGTCCTTGGTATTACGCAGCCCATTAATAGTTTCTTCTGACAGTTTGTTTCTTTCAG